ACCCCATGCCTGAGCGCAAAACCAGCTTGTTGTGCGCTCTCATGAGTCCAGAGCAGATCAGTGAGCTTCGCGAACGTTCGTGCTTGCAGTGTGTTCAACCAGCACGACTAGGCGATGCGCTGAGCAACACTGATGCTCGTAGCATCAAGTTAGCAAGAATGGATGGCAGCACCAATTTTGGAGGCATTTCGGCTTCGGCCTGAGTGTAGCTTCGCAGTTCGGACTGTAATGCGATCGTATTCGGTACGGTGATCAGGGCACACCTCCACAGGTTGGAGGTTTTCCATTCGCAGTCCCTCATCAAAACGCAACGCACTAATAGCCCCTAGACACAAACCGTTTTCCACGGAAGAATTGAAGCAATGCATCGCAAACCCCGCCACATGCTACGCTCGAAAAACGGCCCGGCCGAACTTGTTCTCGGTCACATTTGAGAGCCCAGGACGTCCCTACCCGACATGTTCTGGCCTGTTCGTATTTGGTCACAGTCACACTGAGCGGCAGAACCATGCAGAACCTGCAGCCTCTATTCCAGATCGCGCGAAGAGAACCTATAAGTCTCAGGTTTGGTGGCGGCCCTGAACCGCTTGATGTTGGGTGCCCGCAGCCGGACAGCAAAGCTGCAAATTCAGGATCTGACCTTTCGGAAGTGGTTGGGCACGACCTACACTTTGAGAAACCCTTTGTTCACAGGAGGGTACTGATACGTTTCGAAAACGTGCCTTCGGCCGTCTGTGGCATCATCGCTCTGCAGGCATTGGTTAGAGGATCTTTCTTGAACTGCGGGTAGTAATTTTCTACGGGGCACTCGATCTTTTGACATGTTTCTATTATTGACAAGTGTATACAAGACACAAGGTTACGCTGTTCCCAGCCATATTGTTCGTGTCGTCAAACGATTAGTTTTCACGGTTTTCACGCGCATGACGTGAACGTGCGGCAAATAGCGGTGCGCCAAGTAGTTCCGCTGGCCCACCCACACGGTTCGGCCTAGATTTCGCATCAATGGAATGTTTCATGGACCCTGTCCACCAGGGACGTCTCCTTTCAAGAGCAGTTTCTTCTTCGGATCGTTCTGATAAGAGCTTTTTGCAGGCCAGGTCTTGAAGGGTCAGCTCAAGCACTCTGTCAAGATACACTCACCGTTGGCGAGTGTCAGATTCGGGAGAGGCCGTGAATGTAAATGCTCATGTTAGGGTGGGCGGTGGGAAGCTGCAATCTGTTCCACGGGTTAGACACGCTTTTGCACATGGTTTTGATGCCTGATGCCTAGATGCAAGCATCCTGAGTCACAAGAGCGTGGAAGTTGTCGCTATAGTTTTGCAGAAGGGGCTGGCGGAGCTGAATTCAATTATTGCAAGGTTTCCATGTAGGTTCCCTGGATCCAAAATTCGAAAGCAGGAGAGAAATGGTGGATTGTGCATGATTCCAGCGACTAAAGTGACATTTACCGAGTCAGACGATACTGTTCGGACCTTGTTCTCATTTACCGAGTCTTTCAAGTTGCATTCGAGAAGCTGTGCCTCGTGATGCTTGAGGAATCCTTCAGTCCGGCGGTGTTCAACACGAGGAGGAGAAGAGCACTGGCCTTCTGGGTTTCCTCCACTCTCTGAAGGACGCAGACAGTCCCTGATTCGCACCGATGCGAAGCTGTGCTTCTTCAGGTCTCCAGACCCTTGCGTGCGAGCCGAGGTAAGGCATCCCGCTCGCTGCTGCTGGTGCAAGGCTGGCCGACGGGGCAACTGGTCTGCAGCGATTTTGGCGCGCCCAGGTGCTGCCTTCTCGACTTCTTTCATCCCTGGTCCTCAGAGTCCCGTGCTAGCACTTGCAGCATGGCTGAACAGCAATGTCTTGACACTGCTGGATGGAGCCTTCAAGATGGGTCACGCAAGTATCAAGCAAAAGGTTCAGTGGGGGGCTGTTTTGGAGTGGCCTTGTACTTGTTGTCGCTCTTGCTCTTGGCGCTGCATTGGCCATAATTGAACTTTCTGTGTTTCAGGTCGCGGTGCTTCTTGCCCACGGCCTTCTGCGAAGGGCATGTGGGGTGCTTAGTTGAAATCAGTCGTCGTCAGCCATTGTCGTCTCTAGTCTTGTTATGAAGAACAGGATCAAGTCGTCAAAGCGTCCATGCACAAAGTGAGTCAGGCCAGGCCATTGTCGCACGACGCATCTCTATGCATGTCCTGATGCTCATCGTCCTGCTCGGGGCTCTCTACCTCGAGCAGTTCACCGAAGCTGCTACCGTGGCTTTCCTTGTGAATGTTTCAGAGTGGATCGTTGGACGATCGCAGCAGGCAGTCGAGAGTGAGCTGGAGAAGAGCATGGTTGGCGCTGCCAGCCATGCCACGCTCCTCTTCAAGAAGGGTGGGCCTCGAACGGGAGGTGTCTCTGTAAAAATCGAGGAGTTGAGCCCGGGAGACGTCGTCCTGCTCAAAAGTGGCAGCGTGGTACCAACGGACGGCCGCCTTCTCCGCGCGGAAGCTTTCATGGTGAACGAGTCCGCGGTGACCGGTGAGGCGCTTCCAGCAGAGAAGTCTGTCGGATCTCAGCTCCTGTCTGGGACAGTTGTCGCCACTGGTGTAGCAGAGATGGAGTGCACGACCACTGCAGCAGACTCTTTCCAGGGTCGCATGAAGGCGGCTGTCCAGGACGCACGGAGCTCTCGATCCGACATGGAAGAGCTCGTGAACCGCTTCGCTGAGATCTACACGCCGGTAGTGCTCGGGCTGTCACTTGTGATTGCCATCTTATCGCAGAGTCTAA